GGTGCTTGGCTCCAGGTACTCAGAGATTCACTTCCATACAGAAAGCCCATATTCATATCTTCAGGTAACACAGAGTACATGTCAGACTTAATAATATTACTTTAGCGATAGTTTCAAGGTGTTGCTTTATTGTATGTCTCGTACCATGTCTTTCGGTTGTGCTGTTCTATTTTCATCTCGTTGCAGGTGATGAAGCAGACTGAAAATGTTTTGTCATTGTCTCCTTTCTTTCTCCTCTTTCTTTCATCTTTTCTCTTTTTCTTTTTTCCCTTTTCTTTTTTTGTTTTTCTGCTCTATTTACATTGCAGTTTCCATATAAACTGTAATACTCCCTGCATAATTATAATAAAGCAATGTATAGGCATGAAACAAGTGGAGCAATATGGCAATTGCCATACTGCTACACTTGTGAAAGTAAAATCTGTTGGGCTCTTTTTGGCATCAAGACAATTATTCTTATTGCCACATCGCCAGACAGGACACTGTGAAAAAAAAAATAAAATAAAAAAATAACTTACTATTGAATAAAGAAGGGTGTGTATTATCTTGTAGATCCAGGACTGTAGTATCATTTAAACCTTTATATTATGTAAAGCTGTGTCATGTAGCAGGATGTGACTGTAGGTCTATAAAAATGTTGATTTACCGGATATTCTCTGTCCTTCCTTATTATGCGTGACTGATATTCCTCCTTTATGTAAACCAACCTTTTTCCTTGATCTGAGTAGGGTTAAATTCTGTTAAATCTGCCATCATGCTTGATGGTGATTTTAGAAAGTGTCATTTAAACTGTGCCAGTACCCAATAATCACTTCTCACTAAACTACTCCTGGAGTTCTGGAATAGTACTTTTACCGCCATATTAAAAAGTATTAGCAACAATTTATCAAGTCTGTTTGTGTGAACTTGTGTTGTTTATGTATGCTGCACCACAACTATAACCAGAATAACAATTCATGTCTGTTTGTTTATGTAGCGCCAATTCACAACATCTCAAGGTACTTTCCAGAGACAATTCAACCAGCGCTTAAATTTAGATTGGTTCAAAGTTTTCTATCTAAGGAAAACCAGCTGATTACATCGTCTCATTGAATCTTCAAGCAATTCCTCGCACTAAGCATGTTGTTGCGACAGTGGAGAGGAAAAACTCCCTTTGAACAGGAAGAAACCTCCAGCAGAACCAGGCTCAGTGTGAGCGGCC